GGACGCCACCCTTTTAGGGAAGGTCCCTCCCATTTTCTCGGTTGCTTTCTGCTCCCCTGCTAAAAGTTTAACTTTTAGTGGTTTAGTGGAAAACCCACTAGTTGGCAAAAAGTTAAAGTCCTAACAGCCAAGCAAAATGCACCAAAGTGTTGAGATGCGCCGTACAGATCTCTCCTTTCGGATCCGCCTCCGTGGAGCCGCGCTGCACCTGGAAGCGGTCTGGAGATGTTTCGCCCGGTGCGAGAAGTAGGGAACAGGGTTTTGGGAATGAACCCAGGGATTCCCTTAAACAAAACCATAGGGGATGGCTTATATGGGGTCATTCCCTCATTCCCTGCTGAGCACCAGTAAGTGTTTACCAAGTTTGGGATTGGAAATCGATGAAACAATTCAAACCAGAGTGTATCAGCAGCCGAAACCCCAAAAAGGCGCCGTTAACACCCTAATAATCTAAATGGCCGGAAAAGACACCGTTCTTCGGGCACCTGTCTATTGTATTTGGCTTGCCGCCACTGCCGACGCGCAAGGATATTAGCTAAATATATATATATATATATGCATTGCCATTTTGACGTGTACGCAGCGCACAGCACAGACCTGCCTGTGGATCGTGAAACAAATACAACTTGTTTAACCAGGCAGGCCCAGGCCCCTTCCGGGCTTGCATGCCCCCACGGATACGCCCCCAAAACACAAGTTTCAAGATGGACATTGGCAAAATGGGTGCTTCACCCAAGCCCCGTGTTAAAGCTCGTTTTCGCAGACCAGCTTGGCACTTTGAGTTGCTTTCAGACATGTTTTGCCATCGCACACGCCTGTCAGGTTCTTCATGGCCAGGGAGCCGCTTCCCTGGTGTTTTGGTGGGTGTTTGGCCAATTTCCTGGACAAATTCCTGCGCTGGCGATGCACAATCCCAAATCGGGCGTCCAATTTTGAAGGGCCAGGCCACCCTCCAAAACCGCCTCGTAGCTCAGCAGAAACGCCGCTGGCGCGAGGCTGGAGCAGCAGAGCGCCTAGAAAAGCGATCTGGGCGATCACTAGAAAGTTCAACGGGCGAAGACCAGCAGGACAGGTTCAAATTGTGTTTTTTGAGGGTACCCTTTTGGTTTTAAACGGGGACTGAAAAGAAGCCGACCATGTTTTTTTGGCGTTCTCCATTTTGAGGCAAACCCATTTGGAGGTTCAACCTATCTTGTTAAGCTGAGCATGGTGTAAGTCAAGATTACCATCCTGAAATCAATCACTTGAATCTTCCACCTTAGTAGTTGATACAAAGGCCTGAAGAATAACTCAGATTAACGTGGAAAATGGAACTCCTGAAAATAAGGGAGTACTCAGTCAGTAGGCAAATCAATGCCTAAAAAACAAACATGGGGTGGGATATACTGTAAAGCCAAATCTAGTCATGATTGGCGGAGCAAACGAGCGGCAATATGTTCCCCCCTTATATCACACCGGGGTGAACGCAAATGGCACTAGTCCCTTTTCGTAACTATCTAAACCTCAATGGGAATATTGTCCCATCTACTTTACCCTGTAGGCCATAGCCCTGGTCTGAAGCAAACCAAACCCAGTTGTCCCACTTACAACTTTGGTTGCAACCTACTTAGGTAGGTGAACATCCAAGTACCGAATGACTATCCGACAATATTACCACCAGAAACCGAAACAACAACCCAAAACCGATACCCATCAACCTGAAAAACCCAAAGGGGACCGGTCAAAACTCTGCAACGAAGGATTACTTAGTCGTTCTCTTGACAAACACCCTTTTGGTTGTCCAAATGCCTGGCACAATTCGTCACTATCGATCCCTTCAACCCCACAATAGACCCAGGATTAACCAACTCCTCATTTATTACCATGTTCCATCTCACTGTTGGGAGAAGCTCTTCATGATCCGCGGGTCTTAACCTCATCAGTGGTTTCTGCTCATCTGCCTGCTGATCTCCCCATGGCCACGTTCCATCCCCCAATTCGATCTGGGAGACCGCGCAGGCACAAAGCCGCGGAAAAGTCCACCTCGTTGCGCGACTCAGGCGGCTGGCGCCAACTCAACGAGACGAAGGGAGGAGGGGAGGTGTGTGGAGCCGCCAGAAACTGAGTCATTTGTACAACAAGCTCGGGTTCTGAACAGCGCCAAACCTCGCATCATGTTAAGAAAGAAAAACCCTAAGATCCAGCCGCAGCGCTGCAGAGCCACCAGCCACCAGTCCTGGCCCGAAGCCAGGCGCGCTGCTCAGTCACAGCTCAGCCCCACGGGCAGCTCACACTCAGCCCAGCTCAATTGAGCCACTTCGTTGGCCTACGCCCGCCGCTCGACTTAAGTTCCTAGCAATCACTTTGTGCTGCTTAGATTGCTCGTTTAGCCCTCCATGTCCAGCTCCGGTTCAAGTTCAGTTCCCCTTGTGCCCAGCTGCGGTAGCATTTTCTCAAGCGCGCACTGTTCTTAGCCTCCTCTGAGCGCAATGTTTACACTTACACACACACACATGATACTCTTTTGTTGCAAGCGGTCGGAACTCGTTTACGAGAATCCGTACATTTGGCGTGTGCTCTGTATGTGAAGTGCCCTCATGGCTCGGGCGCCCAGCTAGGCCCGGCAGCCTTCAAAGCCTCAGTCGACCGGTCGACCAACACCCAAACCTGGGACTATCTGCCAGGTGACAAGTTGGTGCCCTTCGAAGGTGATCGAGGTTTGAAAGCAAACCACACGGAAGCGATGAGAACTGGCGACCCCCTTATTTGTTTACAAGGTACATAAATGGGAGGGTGTCTACGGGCAACGAGAGGTCCCATTAGCCACCCTTAAGCCAGCCATCCCACGGAAGGATTCCAGGCCCTTCCAAAGCCTAAGGGTTGACAAGGCGGTCACATAAAAGAGCCAGCAGTCAAATGGATCCGATCCCCTTCCAAAAGCGATCACCTTCTACTGGTTCAAAAGGAAAATAACAGAAACCCAACCGGGCAAAGGGCAGGTTACGTGCATCTGCAATGACAAAGCTGTAAATACCTGTTCTATACATTATATAATAGTATATTTATACAATATGTAGACCACATATACCATAGATGTACCAGCCAAAAGTCCTGCCACTGTGAGAAAGTCAGATGAGCAGTCCGAGCCAACACATTTTTCGAGGCACTTCCTCCCATCCCCTGCCGCCCTGCCTCTCGCAGGCCAGGGCAAGGCTTCTTCTTGTCAATGGCCGCCTACGAAATCCGCCGAAGTCTCTTGCCCCTGTGCCAACAAATGCGAACCAGCGATCTCAAGGGCGAGATTGAGAGCTCAATCCTTCTGGCTTCAAGAAGTCTGGACCCATGATGGGGGCCTTGTTTTGAGCCCCCTTTTGGCTCCTTTTCTTAAAGGAAACTAAAAAGGAAACCGACCTTCCCCGTCTGAGATCTCAGATCTCCATCCCGTGCGTTCCCTGCGTCAATTCCGAAGTCTTGAGCCGAGGCCGATCCTGATCTTGGAGAAGCACCTAGTGGCCCCAGCGCAGAAACCTTGGTTCTCAGTCGATGCCCCCTTAGAGAACAAGACTTGGAACCTTTGGGGTGGATGAGGAGACCACCGGAAGAGATGTCGGCGAGACCCCTTGACCCAGTTGTATGTCTGCGTGTCTTCTTGGAGAACCCGCTTCTGGCTTGAAAGGAACATCTCAAGAAGACCAAACCATTTTTGAAGAACCCATCTAATCCCCCTTCGGGACAAACCCTTTTGTGGGAAGCCGCTTTGGCTTGGTGGGTTTGAGCTTTCCCACCTGTGCAGCATGGCGTGCCACGTCGAGCGGCAGCCCAATCACCTGACCGACAAAGCGAATTCTGCAGATCTCTCGCTAAAAGGAAGCAGTCTCGACTCCCATGCAGATTGACATGGTTTCGGTTGGTCTGCTGGTCAGTTGGTCAGTTCGATAACCGATTGGTTGGTGGTTACTCAGTTGGTGGGTTGGTGGGTTGGTCAGTTGGTCGGTTGGTCGGTTGGTCGGTTGGTCGGTTGGTCGGTTGGTCGGTTGGTCGGTTGGTCGGTTGGTCGGTTGGTCGGTTGGTATTTGCTGGGGTTGGAACTTCCCTTTTGATAATTTGCCTGAAGATTGGAATGGAACCCCTTTTAAGGGGGTTCGACCCAAAGGTCTTGGATTCCTCAAAACGCAAGGGTTGTTTGGGTTCCATCTTCATCTGCAGCCTCTTCTCAAGAATGACTTCGGCCATCTCCAAACTGCTAGACTAGACTGGGTGGAAACCCTGTCAGGTGACGCCGTGTGGGTAGATGGAATCTTGGTGCCATTTCTCCAAGACACAATCTGGTCTTTCTCGGAATACATGAACCACCCCGGGATGAGGTCCTTTTGGACAGAGCCAAACAGAGGACTGGAAGAAACTGTTTAATATGTATAGGATTGGTATTATATCAAAACTATACAGTGCCTTCACCAAACTGACCTATATTATATGGTGACTCCCTCCATGTCCCTCCGATGGATTTGTTTTTGGAGAGCCAAGGCCCGTGACCATGGGACAAAGACCCCGTGGTTGACGAGAAAGGCCGAAGTACTGCGACGCACGAGACCTTGGAAAGCGCCCCTTTTCGGCAAAAAAAAATAGAAGGGCCTGGCGGTTCAAATGCGAAGCAACTGGGAGCATTATGGACAATTCATCAAAATGGCGGATGTTCCTGAGGGAAGGTGGATTCTGAGTTGCCAAAAACCCGCGACGCCTCATCACTGCGAATGCGCATCGCGCGCCCCTTTTTTGGCTGAGCACGCAGATTTCTTGCGCCCAGGCTATTAACGAATCATTTCACTGGGCGCTCGCCCTGTGCAACGAATTTTATTTTCCATTGGCCACATCGTTTAAATAGCACACGGGAAGCGGCATCTCTTCACAGTCAAGACTTGATTTGCGAATGACTCAACCAGACACTGAAAGATCATTCATTAGCAATGCCTCATTCCCAGGAACATGTCGCAGAGCCAGGGAGGCAGGGCAGATATGGCCCATCACTCATCCATTAGCCTGGTAATTGTCCTGTTGATCCCTGACATGTAGACGTAGGGTATCACACTTGCCGTCTCTTCCATAACCGTGCCGGCAGCCTCACAAAGCACGCAGCATGCAGGATGCTTTCTGAGGGGGTAGGGGTTGATATCCCTTTAATCCAAGCTCAACAAGCATGGTTTCTCGTTCACCGAGGTGCGGTCTTGGTGAACTCTCTAATGTCCAACGCCGCTGCTGCTGGAAGGGAGAAGGCCAAGACGATACCAATCACCTCAGTCGATACGATGCCCGATTGCGAAACCCAGTCCGAGGGGAACCGCCACGAAGGCTGGATCCTGGGTGGCAAACTGGCCCAGGGATCGATGGCGTCTCCGAACCTCTGAGAACCCAACACCGCAAGCCCGGAACCCATCGTAACCCAATCATGGAATATTGCGCAACCGCTCACCAACCCAATCCAGCAACTCCTTCATGCAGCTCTCCAGAACTCTATCCAGAGGGAAAAACAGACCTGGAAGTATGCAGAAACCTCCAGACTATCAGTAACCATGTCTTTGGGGGGGGGTTGTTGGTGTTCACAAGCCCCGGAAAACAAGCTGACCAAAAACTGGAAACAAAAAGAGCCTTCAATATGCTAAACAGCCCTCATTCTGGTTTCCGAAAACATATCGAGACCTCTCCAAATCGGCTCAGCAAACCCCACTGAGAGCTTCTCAGTTGCTCCGGCCTCGCCGTAGTAGGATACCAGGGCAACCCAATATCTGCGATTGACGCCTGGGCCCGCTGGATTTCTCTCACTTGCGTGGATCTGGCCCCATGATTTCACCATCATCGAAGTCAGCCCCTAAGTGGTAGTTTAAAGCGAAGCAACCCAATAGCCAATAGCTGACTTTGATAACACCAAAAACAGTCAAAAAATGACCCCAGTGGATTGGTCAGAAAAGGTCCCCATACTTGCTTACCACTCAAACAAACTTCCCGGAAAGTGCTGGACAATGGATGGACAGAGTCCACTTCGCACCACTTGGAATGGGTGAAGTCTGGGAAATACTGACTGAGGTGTTCAATGTCCAGCTCGGCTGATAAGCCTTGCCCGTTTGCAGGCCAGGGCGCAGAATGCCAGGTATCCCTGCACCTCAGGTAGATTGCACTGCTCGCCACCAGCCATCCAAAAGACAACGCGCTCTCAGCATGGTTGGTATGGAACTTGACTGGGGGGTCCTGGTTTGACCGTTTTACTCCACAAGGGACTCTTGTTTGGCAGCTCTCCCTCACCCGTTTTCCGCATGAAGGGTCCTAGCAAGTTGCTCTTCGAAGGGTGGTGGGCGGGGCCGGCGCGCGGGGCCGGCGGGCGGGTGGGTGTTTGGAACTTTTTCGGGGAGTGTTTCAGGGTGGGTTGTCTGGTGTTTGTGCATGCCCCTTCAACTTCTGTCCTTGGACTTGCTACCCCTCTCCCAAAAGGGGGACCGAGAAAGCAGGAAGGGAAACCAAGGTCTGCCTCCAGTGGCGCGTGTTTGAGGTCCGGCTTTTGGGGAAACCACCCAGGTTCCCGGTACACAAACCATGGCATGTGTCAAAATTGGGAGTTGCACCCCGCACATGGTGGGCTCTGCTTTGGGTTTCCATGTAAACCAACCTAAAAATAGGGCGCCCTCCGAAAATCTCCGAAAGACCACACTGACCCCAATTCCCAGCCCTCGGCAAGCACAAGGCGCGCCCACGAAGATGAGGCCTGCCAGCCATGCCTCGATCAGCAGGACCACCCTGGCATGGCGGGGCTGGCCCTGCCGGGTTGGCTTGGTTGGATTTGATTGGCGTCAAATTCTTGGTCAGCTTCATGTTTTGGTTGGCTCAGTCGCCTTCTTGGTCAGCTCCCTTCTTGGTTGGCTTCCCTCTTGCCTGGCCTCTCGTCGCGCTTACACCCCCCCCTGGTTGCATGTCTCAGCAGGCCCCATTCAGGGTGGCTTCTTTGGGTAGCTATTTGTGCTTTTTGAGGCTACCCTTCTTGGGGTTGGTTGAGACAATGTGGAAACCTGAATAATTACGACTTCATTTTTGAAAAGTACCCCGCTCATTCTTTGGACCCCCCCGAGCCTCATCCGCTGGAAGGTGGTCAAGGGCCCATACACCGGCGTTGGCTCCTCCGGACAAAAACCACTCGCCTCTGCTCAGGTTGAATAAAACCCTTTCGGTGTATAAACAGAAATTGGGTGTCTTCTTGTTTAAAAGATAAGCTCAGGTGATATCCCCAACAGCATGCTCGTGGAACCCTCGCTGAACCTCGTGGAACCCTGGTGGAACGTTGGTGGAAGTCTAAAGGGAAGCCACAATGAAAACCACTCATTTTGTGGGGCCCTCCACCCTACTTTGGCATCATACCGATTTGGGAACCCCAAATCGATGACGTCTCCGTGGAGAAGAAGTACGCAAAGGCGTTCTCCCCGTAGTGGAGCTGCACCGTCTCCATGACCATGCAGAAGAGCATGGACAAAGGCGCGCAGACGTTGTGCACCGCCGTCAGCACCATCTGACGAAACCCAAAAAAAAGAGGAAGGAAACACAGGAACTGAAAGCAAGAGTCAAAAGATATCGGTCGGTGTGTGACGCGGATCCAAGGAAAAACACAGCAAGAGCCCAAAGACATGTCACTCTTGACGCTTTTCTTTTTTTGGGGGGGCGTTGCAGTATCACAGAAAGTGTCCACTTCAATCAACAGCTTTCCACAACCAATCCAAAGGTTCATGATCTCCATTCTTCGTTTGATAAATCTCCACATATCCCTGGTTGTCCAGAACTGTCGGGCAGTTTCCTGGTAGTTAGTTGCTAACCTGAATGACATGGATATGGAAATTTAAGGGTTGAAGCCCCATAGGGTATGGTGAGAGGAATGGCGCATGGCGTGATAAATTATGTAAACCATGATTTCCATGGTGCTGCACCGTCTGAGTGAATCTCAAAGTGTCGTAACATATGCATTGACAAACCACACAGGAAAGGGCTCCCGTTTGTGTCATTGATGCTCACACGGCGAACACAAGCATTGGAAAGATGCAACGAAAAGCAGCTACCCAACCCCTGGTTTGTGAGTAGCTGCGTTCTTTGCAGCCCTCCCTAAAGATGAACAGGGCCAAGCATCAAACATCAAAAAAGAGGCCAGCGATTCGTAAAGCAACCATGCCTCTGGCCAAAAAATACTTTTACCAACCGGAAACCAAGAATGCTCGAGCAACAGACCGACAAAATTGCTCGTTCCCCCGAATCGGAGTTCGGTCCGATTCGATTCGCCCAGAGGGCACGCCTGGTAGTTGCTGGCATTGGAGAGGCTGGGCACCATCGCAGACAGCACAAAGCCAACGTTGGGCACCACCGCCCAAGCTGTGCGCAAACGCCTGCACCCGGACACCCAAGCCAGACACTTCCACTGGCTTTCTTGCAGTGGCTGCATTTTGAGGGTTCTCCAAAACACTTTTGGCAGGAGTTCTCCTTATTATGAAGGGTAAATTTGAGGATGCTGCTTTAATGGACGCGAGCTTGGCTCTTAAAACTGGGAAATGAGCTTGGGTCACCCACCCTGTGTTCGCCAGGGCCCGCAGGAAGGGCCAACAGTGACCAAAAAAAAAGAGATACATGATGGTGCTCCCCCTAAGCTCCGCAGTTGGCCAACTCAGGGCTCCCAGCGCTGTCGCCAAGACTTACCCCTTCACGTATACCTTGGCAACCTGGAGCTCCGAAAGCCGAAGCTGCACCCAGGTCGGTTTGGCTCTCGTTGATTGTACATACACATATGCATATACATACTCGTATTCGTATACATACGTATGCGGATATGGATACACATACATGTACATATGCATATGCATATGCATATACATGATGCACATGTACACCTAGATGCACATACACACACACACACACACACACACACACACACACACACACACACACACACACACACACACACACACACACACACACACACACACACACACACACACACACATACAGACATACATAAGCTGGCTTTAATGTTGATCTTTGCTCACATGGGAGTAGAAACAAGTTGGGAGTGATAGGGACACCTCTTCCCACATGCGCCATGGTCAAACTCCGTTCCTGGACTATGGTTCTGCTCCCAAAGAGCCGTGGCTGGTGTTTATTTCCTCCCAAGGCAACTAACTCCTCGTCAGAAGGAAAACTGAAACCTGTCGGCCATGTCTTTCAGAAGAACAAGTGCGTCACTTTCAAAGCCGGAGATTCGAGGACTCGGACTCGGCAGGGATCTGCAGAGGCGGGCAAAACACGCTAGCCGCCGATTGCCCAGGATTATGTCTTGGCTCAAGTGGGCTTGCAATAATGTCACAATCATGTCATACACCCCTTCAGGCTGGGCTAGGTGTGTTGCGTTCTTCAGCCATCATTGAACTGTTGGATGATACGGCCTGTTAACCATCGGAGCAAAGGCCGTAACCCGTTGAAACTCGTACAATTGGGCCCTTTTGGGATTGAGGGCCCCTGTTTCACGAGGGGAACCAACCAGTTTGCAATAATGCGCCCTGACTGCAGGAACCTTTGCGGTCAGGATTCGGCTTTCAACCCACCTCTTGAAGTAGACATGAACCAATCCGTCTGTTTAAGGCACCGACACGCCGGCCTCTCAACCGCGTACTCTAGCACAGTGGTGGCTAAGGGATTATTCTCGAAGGAGAGCAATGGCGCCCAACACCGGTAGATCCAGAAGGTATACATGGACACCTCGGCAACCAACCCGCACTCATCTCGGCTCCAATAATCTATCCTGGGATGCAGCCTGTTTCCACTGGGGAGGAAAAACAGTGGAGAAAAGTCTGTTTGTGATGGAATTTGCTCCTGGCCAGATTTCGCGGGGGGTCAACGGTTCTTTGCCTGCCTTTGTTAAGCACTCTGTACGAGTTGCTCATGCGCAGCCCAACCGAGACTTGTAGCTAGTGCGCTGTGCGCAGTGGGCCAGAGTCTAGCTGGCAATATTGTTAGAATCAGCTGGCTGTCGGCTTGATATCGGTTTCTTGTCATTTTGGGGTAGGCCTTTGTTCCATGCACCATGTTGAGGAATACACCGTCTCGGCAACAGCCTTGACAGGTATCATTTCTTCCCCTTTCGAAAGCAACTGGCCCTTGCTTGGGGCAAGGCTGAACCCAATTGGGGGCTGTGTTTGTTTGATGGTGCCCGGTTTAGGGTTCGTTCAAACGGAAGGCAACAAAGGAACCACACATTTGGGGTCCTACTTGTTCCACCTCATTTGGGCCCAAGAAGTGATCTTAAACACCCAAAGATTGCCGACGAACCATGGGCCCAAAGCATCCCATGATGTTGATTGAGGTGTCCAAAGTAGATGTTCACCAATCCTCGTCGCAGAGTGTTGATCACAACCTTGCGAACACCGAATATGTGCCAACGTTCTCTTCCCGCACAGGCCCTTGGATTTGGGTACTTGTTAAAACTGGGTACCGGGTACCCCTTGGTAAATGGTTTGAAAGGCAAAAGCAAAAAGAAGCCGTCATAGGTCACCTAGCACCTCCTGCTTTCCTCCCATGCGCCGCGACAAGGAAAGCCTTGCTTTCGGGAAAGGGGAAGGACTAAGAAGGAGTTAGAAAGGCTCCCCTTTTGAGACTCCCCGTCCGCCCGAAACAAACTCGCAAGTCGGAAACAGTGACGTGACCCTGGTAGAAATGGAAAACCGCCTGCAAGGGCAAAGAAAAGAGTGCCACTCAGTGAATCTTCAGTTCAGAAGTTGATCCATCTGTTCTCATGGTTCGCTGCCACCTTAGGTGCAAACAAGCTGGAATTCAGGAAAGACTCCATAGATTTCACCAAACATCACAGCAAAAAGGAACTCGCATAAATCCGAGCTTTTGCAGATAATTCTAAAAAATCCTCCTTTCAGGGGTGGCTTAGATTTTTGGTTTGGAGGTTAAGGGGCTGTCGCCCAAGTACCCCACGAGCCAGGCACCCCGAGCCACCACAGAAGAGCGGCCCCAAAAATGGCAAGGTGTCCTTTTGCTTCCAACTTTTGGGCCAAAATTTGGAGTGCACTTCGGGGCGCGCACAGAAGAATGGACGCCAGACCCAGGCTGGTGGTCCACAACCTGCCCTGCGCCTGCTGCACGTCCTGGCGAAGTCGGGTGCTTGGTGGGAGGGAGGGAGGGAGGGAGGGAGGGAGGGAGGGAGGGAGGGAGGGAGGGAGGGAGGGAGGGAGTGAGGGAGTGAGGGAGTGAGGGAGTGAGGGAAGGGGGGGAGAGGAAGGGAGGCAGGAAGGAGGAAAGAAGAAACGGAGCACTTTTTCGTGGAGGGAGGAAGGCAAGCAGGAAGGCAAGCAGGAGGGCGGCAAGACAAGGAAGGCAGGAAGGCAGGCAGGCAGGCAGGCAGGAAGAAAGGAAGGGAGGAAGAAAGGAAGGGAGGAAGGAAGGAAGGAAGGAAGGGAAAACGGAAATGGTAGCGTGAGTCTGGGTGAGCGGTGGTCTGGCCGTATCTTTATGTTTTCCGGGTATCGTTCAGGTATCGTTCGGGGTATCGTTCAGACCGCCTGCCAAGACTAGAAAATTCCACCCAGCTTCCCTTAGCCCAAGCAATGCGCAAGAAATGACTACGCACGCGTTGCGTCCGTGCGCCTCGCAACCTGCGCTGCTGCCCGGCGACTTGGTAGTCGGCTTTGCTGTTCTGACATTTGCACCCACCACCCGGCACGCGCAGTTCGCTTGTCACGTTTGCACGGAACCACAATGATAGCGCGCATCCCAAACAACGCCTCCAATCTTGAAGCACCCTGCGCAGACAAAATGCACCTCCATCGCTTGTGGAAGCAATTTGTGCGCTGCGCCGTTGGTCAGGAAACTAGCAAGAAGGGTAACCGCCGCTAGCGGGCATAAGGGCCAAGGCTTGATTTTAAACAACGCGGTAACGAGAGGGCAAACGCTGGCCAAGGCCCAGAAAAAGGCGGGAGTCAATTGCAGGCGTGCCCCAGCAAAAGTAGCCTGTGTAAAGCGAGTGCCTTTTCAAACGAAGTATCGGAGACCCCGTTCTGATTCCAATGGGCGCGAGCATTCTTCTAAAGAGACAATTGCAACCCCATACATAAACAAAAAGCACGTGAGTATAAACATAACTGCGTCCAAGGGTATCGTCCCCTATCGTTTGCCATGGTTTTATGCATTTCCACAACCTCAATGAAACGCCCAATACTAAACTCAACAGAAGTCATTTTGACGGTGCTTCATATGTTGCGGTTGGTTTACTTGCAATAGGGCATCCACCGGTATGTTTAAGTTTTGGGGGTCTGAGACTTGGGCCGTTTAAAAAGGAGGGGTGAGAAACAATGAGGTGACAATCAGACTCATAACGGGGACATGCCAATATGGTGGGAATATGGAACAGTGTCCCTTTAAGTTTCAACAGCCGCGAACGGCTCAGCATGAGCACCCCTATTCCGGACTGCGATGGCATTTTATGCACAGGCGAGTGCTGTCGGGAGGTTCCTGAAATGCGTGTCTTTTTTGAGGATACCCTGCTTTTGGTGGATTTGAGGGGAAGCCAAGAAGGACACCACCATAGTTATCCTTGCTGATTTATGTTGTTGCTTTTTTTTGGAGGGGGGGGGGCCTAAAAAGGACACACCCAAATGTGTTCTCGTCACGTCTTGAAAGACAAGGCACCAACAGCACTGATCGACTCGGCCCCCAGCCTGGGCCATGTTCGACAGCGTGCCCTTCCTCAGTTGCCCAGCTTGTACCAACAAATAATGTGTTTGATGCTTCTAGCCCATTCGTAAAACTCAGAGTGTCAGAGTGTCACATAAACTCAAACAGGCCCCTAACTCATGGATCAACACCCACAGGACCCTGCCTGAAGCACCGTTGGGGAATACCTGGGCCAGACTCAACCTGCAAAAAGTGAGCTGCTTGTTGGAAGGGGGAAATGGAACCGTGCGTCTGTTTGAAGTCCGCCGGCGCTTGCTCCGGATTCACCGTAGCGATGTAGGTAGCCGTCAATGTGCCGAAGAAGACCAAGCCAAAGCAAATGTCGACTAGGATGGAGGCCTGAAGCGGCATAAGCCGCTCAACCAACTTCCAACCCCAAAATGCGAAGCTAAACCAAGCACCTAAGTCACCAGAACAAATCAAACCAAACAAAACCGAACCAAACAAAGCAATCAAGAAAACAAAAGCACCCATTTGCACCAAGCCAAATATGTTCCCGTCAAAGAACTCATGACGTTCTCAAGTTCATGCGAACCAACACTCTTGGTGAAAACGTTGAAACCAAAACCTGCCACCCCCGCAGAAAGCAAAGCGCTAGCTGGTCAAAAGGGGTCATGAAGGAACATGAAGGCAAAAGGCGATCTCGGAATTCCCCAATGCTTCAACTTGGTCCTTTTGGCAATTCAGACAACTCAAAGCTGGGGGAATTGATCCATGTTCGTTCACCGAGCATTGGGAGACGCCCCTTCTGTGAGTCGTGGATTTCGACAAAAAGCGTGTTTTTTTTTGGCCAAAGCGGGGGCGATTTAGGCATCGATCTCCGCGACTCGCCTGCTGCCGCATTTGACGGCCATACCCGATCATGATGGCCAGGGTGGCATCGGACACGGGGCTAGACTCCCACACCTTCTCCACCTGCTGGGTCCAACTCCGACGGTGTTTTCCCAGGGTTCCATTTGTTGCAAGGCAGGCCCAAACACCCGGGTTCTTGCTTTTTAGACCTCTTCCAGCTCAAAATTGGATGGCTTTCCTTCAAATCAACCGAGCTTATGCCTGAAGGGGACACGGGCCCTGCACAAAAAGAGCAAACAAACAATCCTGCTTGAGATTTTGTGCGCAGCAATAGACCCGTTGTGATTCCAACAAATCAGTTCATAAGATATGGGCCTTTCTTCCGAAGGGATGGGGAAGGCTCAGAATGTGCTGCGACATGTTGCTTTCGTTGCGTCTGTGCGCAAATTGCTTTTGCAAGTTGCGGGCCGTTTCGCCCTGCAGGCGCAGGAAGGCTGCGCGTTTGTATAGCCGTGCCAGTGGAATTTGCAATTCACAGGGCGATCGTTTTGAGGTGTCGTGCTTGGCAGTCATCGTTGGCCCTATATTTCTTTCGGCTCGTTTTGGCGAGCTGAAAGCAGAGGAGGACATTAAAAGAGAGAATTACACACAAACACTACAGCAAAAACGTTGACTCTTTGCTCACCAACTTGCACAAGTAATTCTGCAGGCCTTGGTAGAGCCACTGACAAAAACATGGCCAAAACGAGTTTGTGGCGGTGGCGAGAGCGGATGCTGCGAAAACCTGGGAACCTCCCACATTTGGGAATTCATTGGGAAGGCTGTTTCTCAGTGCAGTGGAAACCTTCGCGGGCCGTCCTGTCAGGTGTCTTTGACTTCCGTTTCCATCTCCTATTTGGAGACACAGTGGCCCACGGCAGACATCGATCGATGCCTCTGTGCGCTTCTCTTCTTCCCACCTTGCACGGTGATTTCCCATGACGAAATTAATTTTCTTTGCTAAGCCCACAAAGAAAACAAACAAAAGCAACGGGTGCAGAGAACAAAATTGGGATATGTGACACGTGGTTCCTTACAAAGGGGAAGCAAGAAAGGAACCCCAAAAAGTGTGATCTCCCCCGTTGCAAGGGGGGGGTGCCTCTGCCATCTGTGTTCAGCGACTAGTTTGAAAGGACACCTATAATAATAAACACACAAGGCATCCTCCCCCCCCCCACCCCCCAGCAAGAAGGACCTTACCCAGACCTCATCTCTTACTACCCTCCCCGCGCCACACCAGCATATAATCAAACCACTCGCCAAAATCTATATAAAATGCTTCAAGTTATTCATTTTAAAGAATAACTTAAACCATTTCAATCAACTTCGCAACATTTATTGATATGTCCTTCACTTGATACATGGTCGCACCAAGAATAATAAATTTCCTTCTTATTACATTTCAAACATTTAAACCACAACACACCATTTACAATTTCTTTACTATCCGGTCGTTCCAATTTTTCACCGTTCAAACTTTTCTGTAAAAAATATTGATGGTTCAAAGATTTCTCGTGTTGAGACTTCTTACCTTTTTTAACTTCATAATCGCACAATTCGCAATAGTGAACCTGTTGCCGGTTTGCTTGTATTGTTGCTTTCCCTGCTTCGCTCTCTCTGTATTTCCTGTTCTTTTCCTGTACTCTGTCAGGGTGGTTCTCTCTGTATCTGCGTTGCTTCTCCCATACTTTTTCAGGATTGTTAATTCTCCATTGTCTTTTGGTTTCCTCTCTCTTCAATCTGTTTTGTTCTCGGCAGTAATCACAAAGTTTAATCATATTCTTAAACAAATCAGAAGAATATGTAGTATCACATTGCTTACATTTTTTCATATCGTCGTTCATCTCCTACCATAGTAAAAGAACATTTCTTTAAATGGTTTTAGGCACAAAACATATCAAGGTCTGGGTAAGACCCTGTCCCGAAAAAACCCACCAAACAACAAACCACACAACAAACCACACAAATAACAATTACAAAGACATTTACCCAAAATCCATTTTCAGCTCTTGAAAACGCCCATTATCAGACCCTGATAATGCCAATATTCCATTATCAGTCCCTGATAATGCAGATATTCCATTATCAAACCTTGATAATGCCATTATCAGACCCTGATAATGCCAATATTCCATTATCAGACCCTGATAATGCAGATATTCCATTATCAAACCTTGATAATGCCATTATCAGACCCTGATAATGCAGATATTCCATTATCAGACGCTGAAAATGCCCATTATCAGGGTCTGAAAACGCCCATCGGGTTTCTCCATTGCTGTGCCTGAAAATAATTCTAATAAATTCATATTATTAGAATTATTTATATTTTAATTTTCAACAATTACATATTTACCATCATCACCCTTAATTAGTTTATAATATTCTAATGTTTGTTCTTTTGGACTTTTGATTTGTCCCTTATTTAACATATCACAATATTTTTTACGCTTCGTGTCATAATCACCGCTGGGTCTGCCTATCCCTTTCTTTTCAAAGATTTTGTCAATCTTTTCCTTCTCTTCATTGTTATTTTTTGGTTCGTTTGCCTTTGCATCAAGTTTCTGGTCAATAGTTTGTATCATCTCGTACAACAGTTTAACATTTTTACTAACTGTCATTATCTTCTTTGATAGTTCAGCAATAGCATCATTCTCAACTTCAGACATTTCTATATATATTTATTTATATAATTATTTATTTAAATATTTATTTATTTATAAAATTGATTTAATGTAAAATCTACTCCTTAAATGCTATTTTTCATCATTCTTTCTCAGGTGTAAATAACCTACCAAATCCACTTTTGAAGTGTTCTACCCAACTTTCTTCAACTGTGCTCCCGTCAGCATCTTTCTTTTTTACTGTATGTGCTGTATGCATGGTTCTACCACATGAACACGGCCAACATTTAACTTTAACATGTTCTTTATCTAATTCTAATTCATTTAATGGTTTAATTGTTTGACCGCATTTTTCGCATTTGACACATTCAATCTCTTTTTGTTTCTCTTGCTTCTTCTTTGGAGGCATTTATATTAATATTTACATTTTTATTTTTGATATATTGAATTCCTAACTTAATTATTTCTAAAACAAAATAGCATACTTTCTTACATTTATTGTCAGTTATTATTACTTGCTCTATATTTTCTACTTCATCTATTACATCAATATAATCTGTATAACTCCTTTGCATATTAAATAATAAGATAAATTATTCTAATTAATCTTATTATTTCATGCATAATAGAATATTGATGGGGCACAGCACTTGGAGTTTTCATTTCAATTCTTCAAACTAATTAGCTTCAATGCTTATTGATTGAAGCAATGGAAAACCTGTTCCATTTTATGATATTCGCCACCAGCATATCATAAAAATAATGTTCCATTTAATATTAATTACAAGTTAATTTTTAAATATAATTTTCTATATTTCTTTAATATCAACTATGACAGATGTCCCAATAATAAAACCAATAAACATAACTGATTATGAATTCAAACAATCTAAATATGAGCACGTGCCAAAACTACCATTTAGAAGTATTATAGTTGCGAGTTCGACAGGCGGCAAAACGGTCTTGGTTCAGAACCTTATCTTAAATGTTTATAGAAATTCATTTGCAAGAATATTTATATTTTCCCCCAGCGTTCATAATGACCCAACTTTTACAGAAGTAAAGAAATATATTAGGGATGAACTACATGTAGATGATGAAAAAGAACAAATTTATTTTGATAATTATAATCCAAGTGATTTAGAAAATGTAATCGAAAGACAGAAGAAAATTATTAATTATATGAAATCTAAAAAGATAAAGAAACTGCACTCAATATTAATCGTTATAGATGACCACGCAGACGACCTAAATTTGTTAGATATAGTAAATTATTACATGGATTATTTACAAGAGGTAGGCACGATGCAGTAAGCGTAATTTGTTCAACACAGAAATATAATGTGTTGGCGCCTATCATTCGTTTAAATGCCAGTTCATTATATATTTTTAGGTTGAAAAATGCCAGTGAATTAATGAGTTTTATTGAAGAAAATAGCGCCATTGTTGATAAACAGCAATTAATGACGCACCTTATAGTTTCTTCTACGTGAATATGAATGCTAAAGACATTAACAAAATGTTTCATATCAGATTTGAACAGGCATTTCAAATTACGAATGATGAATAAAGATATTCTAATTTAATATAATATAATAATATGCCAATGAAACTATGTAGATGTGGTGGATTTTATCGTAGAGGTAATTATAATTTTCATACTAATTCTTGGATACATAAACTTTATAAAGTGTTAAAAAGACGACCAACAGACGAGGAATTATTAAGATTTCAAAATAATTTTGTTGATGAAGAAGATTTAATAGATGATATGTGTAGCAATGCCTCAACAAAATTACCCGAAAGTGAAATGACGGATTATGATAGTAATTAATAGCATTAAGCCATTGGCTTAATATTATTAATTTAAAATAATGAATAATTACATAATTGAACAGGTAATTTATATATTAATTTGTCAGATTTTTCTTTTTCTAATTTCTCAATTCGTGCCACACATTCTTGAATAGATTTTATTATTAAAGTATCTGCTCTTGTTTTTTCATCTACTCTTAAAGTCTTAATGTCTTCCATACTGTTATTTGCATCATTTTTACTTTGACCAATACCCATTATATATAATATTATTTAGATTTTAATTTTTTCAAAATTGAAATGTTGGTTTTCTTCTTCTTCTTCATCTTCGTCTTCAGTTGGTGCTGGTATTTCTGTTGGACTTTCTGATGAAGAACTATGGACAGTAATAGGTGGAGAACTATGAACACTAATAGCTTCATTTGATGAACTGCTACTGCTACTTTGTGCATGTCCTGCTGTTATCTGATTGACTAAATCTGCAATATTTATAGTTGTTGCAATTGTGCTGTGTGATAAGTTTAATATGATATCTGCTATTGTAGCGCCGTTGTGTAGCATTAATTCTATCATTTTTGTCAGTTTGAACTTCTTTTCTTCTTCATCGCTGTCATCCTCTTCTGGTGGTTTCTTTGGCGGTGGTTCTGGCGGTTTGTTGTTGTCGAGCATTTTAGTAAAGGCTGACACCATTGCATCGCGTTGGTTTTTCAATGTTTGTGTTGCCTGTGTTCTTGTTGGCTCATTTCTTTTGTATGTGTTGTGCCAAAAGTTTTTAAGCATTATTTGAAACATATTGTCTTGGGTTTCCTTTACCTTAAACGCTTCAAATGTCATATTTAATGGTTGGTTTGCATCATTGTATAACTTTTCTTGAGTCTCTCTGGTTGCTGTAGCAATAGTATCTGTGTTGGTTGCAATGTCAACAAATTCTCTCGGTATGCCCTTTTTCATCAGTTTCGGTGGTTGTATTGTCGTTGGTGTGTTTGGTTTCATTAGGTTATGTATTGAAAAACTATCATCATCATATTTATCATTGAATTTATGTTTTTTCTTTTTCAGTATATTTTTAGTTAATATTATCATTAAATATACTTATATTATTATTATTAACTTTCACCACTTCCTGCCGCTCGACTTGGAGGTTTTGCCATCTTCTTGGTAGTTGCTCCTATTACTTGTTGGGGTTTGGCGATATATTTGTAATAAACTAAGTCGCCATACATTTGCGCGATTTGGTCTGTTATTGGCTTCTTTACATCGCCTTTTGCATTCTTATGAAGTCTTGCTAGATGTGAAAATTCTTCAAACTCCGTTGCCTTAATTAGTTGTATAATATATAAATCATTTACGACTTTGCTCATTTCAGTCAAATTATTAGCAAAAATTCGTGGTTGTCTGTCCCTTACTGAATACAATATTTCAAATGCTTGTTGTTTAAACTCCGGTTGAATGTCTGGGTGTAGTTCATCAATTCTTGATAT